TTTTCTGCTCTTTCAATAGGTTGGCTCAGTTTGTCTTTACCATGAACTGTCACAGATATATTCAATCAGAAAGAGAATGATGGCATCTGATCCAGACAGAATTTGTGACTTTTTTTCATATAGGGGTTGCATTGTTTGGACCCTCACTGTAGCTTTCCAGTAGCTAGTTGACCGGGTTGTCCACCCAGGTTGTGATCCTTGAAGGTCCTAGATATCATTTCTGGTGGACAACCTTTTACAACATTCCATGTCTGTAAAATGACTTTGCCCCCTGGGTACATGGCGCAAACTTGAGGATGACGTTCTGACATCACTTGAGGCGGCGGGAAGATGGGGGCATGGTTGCACCCCGGAAACACATGAGCATCTAACACTGGAACGTGTTCTGGAGCTGGAGAACAGGGAACTTCCAGCTCTTTTATCAAGGAGAGGAGGCTGTCAGGCCGCCCTTTTCTTCTTCCTCGTCTGGTGGCTGAAAGTCTGGACCGGCTGTGCCTGAGCGGCTGCTGCCGGAACCGGAGACTTTCTTGGCCAGCTCGTCTTCGCCTCGTGTCTGGGCTGGAGACCCGGGGCGGGCTGTGGCCCCTGCTGTTTCGGGATCTTGAAACGGGCAGGACGTGAGGCAGCCTGAGCGAAGGACTGCCGCGGGGCCGTTGAAGGCGGCGGCTGGACCCTTCGGGGAAGACAAAGCTGGAGAGCCTCATCCTCCTTCTTTTTGGATTCACACCGCTGCTGCATCGAAGCTAGAGCGGAGCCAAATATGCCCTCGGGAACAATAGGCATGTCCAAGACGTCCTCTTTTTCCCGGTCTGGAAGGTTCGTCAGGATAAGCCACCTGGCTCTCTCCTGTACCACCATTATCCCCAGTGCTTTGCCCGTGGCTTGGACTGCACAGCGCTGCACACGGAGGCAAATGTCCGTGATCGCTGCGATTTCATCCCACACGGCAGGCTCAGGTTTGATCGTCATGTCCTCGCAGAGCTCCGCCTGGTAGGCGGTCAGCAGCGAGGAGACGTTGAGCGCCCTGGCGGACAAAGCTGCGGCTTTATAGGCTCGTTCGGTAATTCCTGACTGGAAGCGGTCTGCCTTTGCCGGTAGCGTGGGGTTCCTGCTCGGTGCCTAAGCCAGCCGCGGTTGGAGGTGGGCTGCCACCAGCGGCTCCAGGGGCGGCGGCATGCGGGGCAGGCAGAGTTTCTCCATGCCGTCACAGTCCAAAGAGGAGGCTCCCTGGATTGGGGCCTTGTTACTGAAAGGGCGGTCTCTCCACGAGACCGACACCTCGTCCAGCATCTCTGGAAAGACTGGGAGAAGCTGCTTCTTCATCCTCGCTGCTTGGGGCAAGTTCTTCCCCTCATAGCGAGATCTGGAGGTCTCATTGGCCACTTCAGGCCAGGGGATGTCCAGCCTGGACGCAGCGCGTTGGCACACGGCCTGCAAGTCCATACTGAGGCAGGGCGAAGCTGGTGTGCTTTCGCCCGGGGGAGCGGACATCGCCTCCGGCTTGGCAGCCTGGGCAGATGAAACGAAGATGTCATCTTCGTGCTCATCCGAGTCGGATAAGAGGAACTCAGAGGCATCCGCTTCATCCGAGTCGGATAAGAGGAACTCAGAGGCATCCGCTTCATCCTCCTCCATATAATCCAGCTGTAGGACATCCTCCGCGGGTGGAACCACGGTGAGGTCCAGTTGGGAGCCCCAGCTTGACACAGCGCGGGGCTCCGATTCCGCGGCTACCGCCGTTGTTGAGCCCCAACCTGACACAGCGCGGGGCTCAATCTCCGCGGCGGTCGCTACCATGTCCCGATTGCCGGCCGGCGAATCAACGGAAATGAAGGGGTCCCGTCCCGACAGGCTAGCTTGGCGCGCTAGCCGTCGGCGGAGGCTCTTGATGCCCACACAAACCGGGGTATCGATAGCTTCCTGGGCGTGTTCCAGCCCAAGGCAGGACGAGCAGACCTGGTGTGAGTCCGTGCCCGAGATCTTAAACCTGCAGCCGCAGAGCCGAGCCTCCGACTCCTCTGGTGTGAGGGAGAGAAAGGTCCATCGTCGTTTGCCGGGGTGTCGGCGCGGAGGGACAAGCTAGTAACAGGTATGTTACCGAAAAAAATAAAATAAAAATTCAACCTTATCGTTATTCCGAAAGGAAAAAACGACGGGGTAGATTTTTCTTTAAAAAATATTAACTGGTGTGTTAATATCTTTCTTATCTCCGTCCTCGCTCGCCGTGGTGTCGGCGCGGAGGGATAAACTAGCAACAGGTATGTTACTGTTTGAAGAAAAAAACAAACCTTACCGTTATTTCGAAAGAAAAAATGGCGGGGCAGATTGCAATATTAACTGGTGTGTTAATATTTGTTCAATTCTTCTGCAAAGCGAAAAAAAGTAACCGGCAAGCGCCCGTCGACCGAATGTTAGCTTAGGTTCAGTCTGTGGACCGTTAAGCTAGCCCGGCTACTGATATTCGAGATGTGCTCTGAAGCTGTGATGTAGCGCAAGCTACTTAAAGGGTGGGTGGATTCTAGGGCTGTCCCGAATACCATTTTTCAGGCTCCGGATATTCGGTAGTAATCTGCACCGAATATTCTAATATTCGGTGCGGAGAGATTTTTTTTTTTTTTAAGAACATTTAAAAAAAATAAAATGTTTCATAACACGCTCCGAGACACCTGACAACACGCTGTTAAGCAGAAGCGCAGAAAGAGTATACTATTACGATTTATATGTATTTATTGTCTCAGTACTCGCATAGGCCTTGTAGAGTTATATTTGTATTTATTCATGTTAGCAAACTATGGATAAGCTTAAAATGGGAATAATTTGGGTGGAACTGTGAGCTGGATGTGGGGCCTGTTTGACATGTGTTTTTGAGGACAAAGGAAGATGGGGGAAGGTGAGAACATGTCTTGAGTTGCATTCAATTTAGATCTAGCTACAGTGATTGGGGAAGCCTAAGATCTAAGGTGTTGGTGATATTTCGGGCTGCCAATCAGTGATGTCCGAATGGGAGGATCTGATAACTCCTCCCATTGTCACAGAGTAGAAACACACGCGGTGTTCAGCCTCTTTCCTCTGGCTGGCTCACGTGCAGGTAAATTCGGGATCCCAAAGATTAACTGTATTGAATTTGTACTGTATTGATTGTATTGTTTTGTCATATTACCATAAAGTAGATATTGTTTACTTGGTGGCACTGGATTTCTTCCTGTATTAACCAGCTTGATAGGGACGCGCAGAGATTTGAAAAGCGGACCAGATATCCCTTTTAATCTCTAACAAAGTGGTGATCCGACGTGCCAGATATAACGAAGCTGAGGAATAATCCAGACGACCGGAATGGGTCGAGAACAAACGCTTTCAAACTTCTCAGACAATCAGCAGGGCCCTGCACAACTCTACACAAAGGTACAGACGCCTGTTATGAAAATCGACTGTCTGAAATTGGATACACTAAAACTTTAGGATTGTCTGTAGGCGTTTCACAGTGTTTTTAAAGTTTAAATGGAATATACAATGCATATTTTACTATGTTAGGAAAGTTATATACAAAACGCAAACGTTGATCGACAGGTAGACGGAAAGTCCTGCGTAACGAAAATAGAGCAGTTTGGCGTGGATCTGCAGGTAGTTTATTCCTGAGTGGCGTGGAGACGGGGCAGTTTGTCGGTGCGAGGTTTGATTTCCTGCACGACAAAACCTGGAAACTTGATATATCAGATCGGGTCGCCGTCTAAAACTGGGGTTAAATAACAGACCAAGGCTGAAAGCTAAAAGCCAGAGGTCTGTTGATCGAGGGAGAGAACGCGAACCTCACCAAAAATTGTGACGGGACCGTCTCTCGTTTTCCCTTTGTCTGTAAACTTCATTTGAAAAGCTAAACGTGTGATAAAGGGCTTTTCACGACCTGGGAGTTCCCCATGGAATGGTCACATTCTTTAAGAGTGTCGAAGCATCATTCGGGTCCACTAGCCTGTTGAAATAAACATCACATTATAAAAGCTGGACAAACTGTACGGGGAATAAATCTGTGTGATTTTTCAATTGTCTCCGGGGATAAAAGAGGCACTCAGAAGAGTGAAGCTCATTTGTGGTCTGCTGCTGCCATCTAGTGGCTGAAAGGGGGTAACACACCCTTGACATTTGTATATATTTTAGCTTCAAACTTAGAGTTTCATCATTACATTGCTGGCCGGTATTGAAGACGGGAAGCACGTTAATAATAACAACGACAATAGCCCAGTATATGAATACAAGTGAACACATATTAATTAAGTCAGATAAATAAAAGCGAAGTGAATATGGAACGACAGAATGGTAAGGACTATTCTGAAATTCCAGGGAGTTACCAGGAGCAATGGGAACAGATTAAGAGATTGATTTTAAGTGGAATCAAACAGGGGGCTAAAGAAAAGGCTTGTACGGATCTCCGATTCCTACACGATAAAATGATAACAGAGAATAGAGTGGGGGATGACGACACCGTAGGTAATTTGGGCACAGCATTGAATTTATATGAAAGACAGATTGTAAAGCAACTTGCACACCTAAACGAACAGAAGCCCAGATGGTTTGCCCGTAGCAAATGGAACAAACAAAAACAGGCACTAGATAGATTGAGGAGGGTTTGTCACAATGCTGCCCTCGCAATGATTGGAATTAATATTCCTCCCGTCACAGACCAAAATCTCCCGGGTGCAATGGCAATCCAAAGCCCCATAAAAACAGATGAAGTTAACACTCTTCTGTTCCCTCATGGTATTAAAGACACGGAGGTGCCTACACATGGAGACATTCTTGACTATGTAGCAGAACGAGTCGAATATTTTAAAAGAATGCAAAATAATGTTGTCTCTAACTCAGAGCAGAAATCTCTAACTATGCCCATACAAAATCCGGCTATTCCCACCCGCTCCTCTCTCCTTTACCCGGATTTAGGTAGTCTGACTACACAGCCCCCTCCCCCTTATACTCTACCCGACGACAGCGCAAATAAATTGCAAATGATGGTGGCAGATGCATCGGACACAGAAGGAGAGGAGGCGGCCATGAGCGTAGGGAACTATAGGATGGTGGGAACAGTAGCGTTGAGTCCGTTAAGGGGCGTCCCTACTCCAAAGAAAAGACTAAATGTTAAACAAAAACAAGTTTCCTCCCCGTTAGACGGACTAGACAGCGCACACACCACGCGGAGGCCTAGTTTTAACACAGACCAGGAGGGGGTTTCCCCGAGCAGGGACAGTCGACCACTTGATAAGGAGCTCACCTCAGAACAATTGACTTCCCTTCTGACAAATCTTACAAAGAGCCACTCAGGCGCTACACAGGCAGACATAACATACACAACTGACCTCCTAGATGAGAGGGAAATGCGAGAAAGGCGGTGCTATGAACAACAGATTCAAGATAGACGCAAGGAGGAAGACAGGAGACAGGAACAGAGCGGATATGAGGGCTCGCTAGAAGATATAGAGGAGGGGGAGAGATGTGATCCTTTTCAGAACAGATCACGCCAAACGTCTACGTCTTATTACCCAGGTGTTGAGGGGGGGGCATCGGGCCATGAAAGTGGGGAAGAGACGGCGAACCACAGAAGTGATAGAAAGACAGTGGGCCATAAAAGTGAGGGAGAGATAGCGGGCCATAAAAGGGATAGGGAAACAGCAAGCCATGAAACTGGGGGTTTTTACAATGGAGCAGGAGGCCAGGGTCGTAAAGACAGCTCTCAGGAAGAGGAAGACAACAGGAGGGCGAGGTGCAAAGTTAAGCAGATATCTCTGACAGGAACAATAAGTGAACTAGTGGAAGTAGATCAGGTTCTTTCAATGCCCCGTAACAGATTAAGGTCTCACCACACCGCAGAAGACCCCACCGAGCATGCTTTTATTTCTCCAGTATTACAGGCGCCTTTAGTGGCCGCGCAAAACGGGAAGACGGCTTATCATCCTTTCACACTAGGGGACATACATGCGCTGATCGATAAAATGCCGTTGCCTACTGAGGGAGGGAGACATTGGATGCAAAGGTTTGCGGACATGGCTGTAGGACAGACTATCTGTCTGGGAGATTTCAGGAGAATACTAGCACAACAGACTTCCTATTATGAGGTAGAAAGAGTTGAGGATAGATCAGGAACATCGACAATGAAAGATGACGTGCCTATTTCCTTTGACGATGTTCACAGCAAGCTGGGCAAAGCAATGAGAGAGCATTTCCCACAGACAGGGGGAGGTTACGGATCACTGTCATTTACATTTACACCTGGAGAGGCTGCAGCAACCATGTTGCTCAGGGCACGCCAACAATACACAATGGCAACTGACTACAGTCCAGATAATAATGACCAACATATACAGATGTTCCGTAAAGCAGTGCTTGCAGCAGTGCCGAAAGAAATTAAAAGTCTGATGGAGGACAATCCAGAGGTAGATCAGTTAAACACACAGACGTGGGAACGTCATTTAGCCCATCATTTGAGTAAATTCAACAAACAACATACAGAGGTTAAAACTGAGGAAGAGGAGTTGAGGGTGCAGTTACTGCGAACGCAGCTGGAAATAGCCCGGAAAACAGTTCAGAATGACAAAAAGAATGCCAAACAGTTGATTGTTCACCCAGTAGCGCCGGCCGCGCAGCCACAGGGGCAGCAAAACCCAAAAGGGGGCCTTTCCAACCAGGGTCCGCCCTATAGTCAGCCCCAATTTGGCTACGATAATAGCTCTTGGCAACAGAGGGGCGGGTTCAGAGGAGGGGTCAGAGGTCGAGGTGGCTTTGGAATGACTCCTAGATTGGAATACGTGAAGGTGTGTTTCATTTGCGGACAGCCAGATCACTGGTTCAAGCAGTGCCCACATAGAGCCCCACCTGGAAGGGGGCGGGCTAAAGGGGGGAACGGATCAGAGAGACCATATATCCAGACACCCCAGGAGGCTGTCCCATTTCCGCAACAACCGAACCAGGGTCACATTGCCCCTAATGCTATGGCCGCCCCCTATGGCCAGTTTGTCCTGTATGATGGGGAATACTACGAAAAATGAAGACGCCCAGGGAACCCTGGATGTACGGGCCTGGCGGATCCATACATTAATATGACTGTTAAAGACTCAAACCTACCATTCCTTGTTGATTCAGGAGCAAGATATTCCACCATCAATTCTCCCGTCTTCAAGGCGTCCAAAACATCTACAACAGTCTCAGTCATAGGGTTTTCGGAAAAATAGAAAAAATACCGCTTTCCACGCTGTTATCCACCAGGACAGACATTCTTACACCAGTATATTCTTGCACCTAAAAGCCCGGCTAACCTCATGGGTAGGGATATTCTGATCAAAGCGAATGCCTCCATCCTCTGTTCCCCGGATGGACTGATAATATCATTCCCAAATGGCACAACCATCAATTGTTCGTTATCTACCATAAAATCAGGTTCTCAGATGATGTTGGCCCAGTCCACTGAGGCAGAAGCAACCCAACATGCCACTATATTCTGGGGACTGTTGGACCGACCTCGGGACAACACACCTGGACTATATTCCATTTTTCAACAATGGAAGCCATGGATTAACCTCCTCAGGCCTTATGGCCCCCCTCCAGACCCCCCCCACCTGACGCTGAATTATGATAGAAGAGACGACCTAAGTTATGAATATGAGTATGATAATGAGGTGTCTATGGCCGTTTGGGACGTTACCACGACAAATCTCTTTGTGGGGCGGGTGTGGCTGCGTCGGTTGAGCTCTCTGATGAACAACTGTACTGGTACCGTTTGTCTGCTGAGTCCACACCACACATTACATTAGCTATCAGAAAGGGTTATGAAGCTAAAGAACTTGGTCCCATGGTAAAGACGCTGCTAGAAGTCGAAGATTGGGAGCCTACGCAGATCGCAGCACTGACATACTCTCCCTCACACAGAGCGTATCGTCTTAAAATCTACACACAAGAATGCATCCACATGGAAAGACACAAAGTAGATAGACATCATGGTAGGGAAAAAACTGACCATGCATATACAGTTGACATGTTGCGTGATCTCCCGTCTGACCTGTGGACGTCGCACTCTCATGATGTAGGTTTCTGCTTGAAAGCCACACCAGTAACATTTGAGGTGAGCAGCTCTGTGCCTGTGAACCGGTCACAATACCCGATCAAACCACAGGCAAAAGGGGGTGTTGACAAGGCAGTTGAGGGACTGAAGAGAGCAGGGGTGTTGGAATACTCCCATACTTCCTGTATCAAAATCTAGCGGGGAGTACAGAATGGCTCGTGATTTGAGAACCATTAATGCTATTACGACTACAGCTCTGATACCAGTTCCTAACCCCTACACGGCTATCTGTAATGTCTCACCTGAACATACATGGTTCACCTGTATTGACCTAGCCAACGCTTTCTTCTGCATACCTCTGGCAGAGAGTATGAGACCTATTTTTTCTTTTACAATAGGAGGGGAGAAACTACAATACACAAGACTACCACAAGGCTTCAGTTTGTCTCCAGGAATATTCAACAAAGTGCTCAGGGAACAGCTAGAGGGCGTTACATTGCCAGTGGGGGTAGTATTAATACAGTATGTAGACGACCTTCTCATCGCAGCACTTTCTGCAGCCTCTTGTTTGGAAGCCACCAGACACCTACTGGTGCGCCTCCACACATCAGGGTTCAAAGTCTCCAAGAAAAAGCTACAATGCACCCGTAAAGAGGTGACATTTTTGGGCAGAGTGATTTCCCCAGCAGGCACGGGCATGTCAGCAGCGCATCAGGAACACATTTTGAACCACCCGAAACCCAAGACAGTCAAAGACATGTTGTCTTTTTTGGGCCTCACAGGCTACAGCAGACACTACATCCCAGAGTATAACCCAAGAACAGCTGAACTCAGAAAACTCATCAACGAGAAAGGCATGCGCAATCTCACTGCCACACTAGACTGGACACAAGCGGCAGAAGCTGCGTTCATTTCTCTCAAACAATCCATGTCCCAAGTCACGGCTCTCGCCGCTGCATCCTATGCATTACCATTCTTTCTTGATGTTTCTGAAAATGAAGACACAGTAAATGGGATTCTTTTTCAGAAAAAGGGGGGTTGTAGGACAATATTGATGTATGTCAATGTTACACTGGACAGAGTGGAAAACAGAGAACCTCCCTGCATGAGACACGCGGCAGGTACAGCACGTATCTTAAACAAGATTTCACACATTGTGATGGGTCATCCTTTGACAGTACTGACAACACACAGCATTGTCTCTTTTGTGAACTCAAGTGCATTCACAATGACTTCAACGAGACAAACAAGGCTGGAGAAAACTCTGACAAAGGCACACATCACATACACACACAAAGGAGTTAACAGCGCAGACACCATAGGTAGCGGAGAGCCCCATAGGTGTGAGGAAAGAATCATTCAAAATGTGAAGCTAAGAATAGATCTCAGAGACGAGCCCATCCCACAGGCAGAAAACCTGTTCACAGACGGCTGTTGTTTTAGACACCCCCAAAACGGCCTCCAAGCAGCCTATGCCGTGGTAAAACAAAAACCTGAGGGAAACTTTGAGGAAGTATCAGCTGGAGAAGTAACAGGGAAAGTATCAGCACAGTTGGCAGAAGTAATGGAAGTCATTGCAGCATTAGAGCTATCAAAAGGAAAGGATGTAAACATCTACACTGATTCAGCATATGTCCACGGCGTAATTCACGTGGAAATGCGACAATGGTTGAGAGCAGGATTTGTAACGTCCACAAATACCCCCATCAAACATGAGAAAGAGATCAAAAGGCTTGCAGAAGCAGTAATGTTGCCCAACAAGTTAGCTTTACTTAAGTGTAAAGGTCACAACGCAGAAAACAACTACTTGGCTTGGGGTAACAATGCAGCAGACAAAGCAGCTAAAGAGAAGGCAGGATATACACCATGGTATCAAATGCTTGTCTTAAAATCTGCTGACTTGCTGCCCGCAATAACAGATGAGACGCTTAAAGAAGCTCAAGAAGCAGGGTCTCCTCAAGACAAAAAACTATGGTCAAACAGGGGAGCTACCAACAAAGATGGGATATGGTACTCCCCAGATGGGAGATCGGTTATACCCCCAGAGTGGATAAGATCCATGCTTAAAGAAGCACACGGCCCAACGCATTGTGGTAAAACTCAGATGAACAGGCACCTGACCCACTGGTGGCACCCATACCTACCAGACATGATAGCAAATCACCTAGAAGAGTGTGTAATTTGCTTAACCCATAACATCAGAGCCACTGTGAAACCACACCAGGGAAAGTTTCCTTTACCTAAGATGGCAGGAGAAGAAATCATCATTGACTACACTGACATGATTGACAAAGTAAGAGGATTCAGATATTTGTTAGTAGTAGTAGATGGATACACAGGTTGGCCAGAAGCTATCCCTTGCAGAAGAGAAGATGCAGACTCAGTGATCAAATTCCTAGTCACGCATTACATTCCATTACATGGATTTCCTAGGAAAGTGAGGTCAGACAATGGCAGCCATTTCAAGAACCATGACCTACGCACAGTAGAAGAGTCCCTAGGACTAAGACACAGTTTTGGAGCAGTTTATCATCCACAGTCTCAGGGAAAAGTGGAAAGGATGAACCAGAACTTAAAACAAAAACTCAGCAAAGCATGTGAAGAGACAGGCATGAAATGGTTAGACGCATTGCCTCTAGCTCTTATGTCAATCAGGAGCTCCATTAACAAAGGGACAGGTTTCTCTCCATTTGAGCTCACTTATGGTCACCAGTTCCCAGGTCCAGGAGCCCTAAGTGTAGGAAAGGAAGTAGAGGTTCTGAGTTCGAAACCATACTTCCAGCAACTTAAGGGATTAGTGGCAGATTTTTCCACCCAGGTTGCAGAGGCAAAAGGGGGACCCGAGAAACACGAAGCGAACACTGCGGAGTTCGTCTGGCTGAAAGCGATCAGACCCAAGTGGCTGAGACCCAGGTTCTCTGGACCCCATCGGGTGATGCAGAGGACATCTCACGCTGTCCGCTTGGAAGGGAAAGGAGACATCTGGTACCACTGGAATCAGTGCGCAGTGGGGAAACCTCCGGGAAGGACCCTAGACGACATCATCACGGACGTGGTCCGCGCAGAGGAGGAGGAACCAGAGGACAACACTCCTATCACCGACCCAGAAGTCGCCATAAGCGGGCGGGCTGAAGAGGACGTCGAGGAACGGCCCTGAGGGAACGAGGCAGAGCGGGGTGGATCAACGCTTCCAGATGGCGTCTGTCTCCTCCACCGGAGGCTGGCGTGTGAAAGCTGTCATCATCCTCCTCGTGCTGGGCCTGCTGTACCTGTCCAAGGTAGTCCCGCTTGATGAAGCTGTGACCATTCCAACGACAGGTGGCCCAGACTCTGAGGGCCAAATCACACCAACGGGCCAATCAGTGCCTAGCGACAAAGACAGGTTGTTTCCAATCACCACACAAACATTCAGTACAATGAGAGAGAGACACAGAGAGAGAAGAAGGAGGAATGCCCCTCTCTCTGCTCACGAACCACAGAAGGTTTCTTTTGACTGCCCAACTGCAATATGTAACTCACCAAACTGTGTTATTACGTACCCTGTGTTTTTTAGCAAGGGTGGCGACTCCACGGTGTGGAAAGCGTATCCAAGGACGCAGTATCAGGAGTTCCGGGTCTCGTCACGGATGGTAAGAATAACACTCAACACCATTGCAAATATGCCCCCAGAACTGTGGTGTAGCACGGCAGAACAGTTAAAATATGAGTCCCAGTGCACGGCACGGAAACCAGATTACAAAACTCCCAATTCGGGGGTCACTGGATGTGCATTTATTGAACCAGAGCATGAAACAGATTTTTCTAATTTAGGGGTCGCCGGACACGCCTCTATTAGAACATATATTGAACCATATCATGAAACAGGTTTTCCGGAAAAAGCCCTAATATCCACTCCACCTAAACAAACAGGAGAGGATGTAGATTCTTCAAAAAAGGCCTTAATCGCTCCACCTAAACTAACTAAAACCAATTCGGCAATGAGTTTAATGTTGACTATGCACATGAACGCAATGTTAGCAACTGTTGGCTGTGCCAAAACATGCCAGAATCCGTACATTCTCCCATGTTTAGCCCAATTCCTTTCACGAAAGCTGACTACGGTTTAGTTAGCTGGAATGACATAGCATCCCGCATTGGAGATGAGGCCGAGGATTGTTACACTGCAACCACACACTCCATCTTTATTAGTTGAGGCTTTGGTAACAGTAGTGCCCTGGTTTGGCTCCAGAACAGTGGACTCAGTTGAGGTTAAAATACATGACTGTTCGCAGCCATTACCCTTAGGTAAGTCCCCTACCCGTGACTGTTCTGTCTATGTTCCCCCAGTTGTAGTACATGAGTGGAAGAATGTGTCCATCTGTTTCCAGAATGAAAGAGGATCTCTTACCTCTCCAGATGTGGGCCACAGCGACTGTAATACCGTAATAAAGGTGCAGTTAGCCAGAACGCCCCTCCCGCAGAGGGTTTACTTAGTTTGTGGGGACCGAGCCTATGGCTGTATGCCTTATGACATTTTCTATGGCACCTGTTACCTGACCTATCTAATCCCTTTAATCCATAAAGTGAAGACTGATGAGATTGCAGCTATACTTCCCTCTACATAGAAACAGCAGGTCGATTACAGAAGGACAGCGGATGGCTAGTCTATTTTTACCATGGTACGGTATTTATGTTTCTCAGCAGGAAATTGTGGCGTTGTCCAAAGTAGTGGAAAATCACTTAAATGCATCTAACACAGCCATGTTAGCCGAACATAAAGAATTACAGGAGGTTAGGACTGTAGCATTACAAAATCGTATGGCACTGGATCTTTTATTAGCCGCCCAGGGGGGCACATGCAAGGTGATTGGATCTGAGTGTTGTTCTTTCATCTCTGATGCTACACCTGAGGTCATGGATATGGCTCATGATATCGCCAGGGGGATAAAAGAGTTGCATGAAACTCATGGGTTTACCCTTGGGGATTTAACTGGAACTTTTGGATCGTGGGGTGCGGGGTTGGTTAAATTTGCAGTAACCGTTTCAATGTTTATCTTAGTTGTGCTAATTGTGATAATCTGCTTGGTCACTGTAGTTAAACTAGCCATACGAAAGATGACCAAAACCGCCCTCCAGGCTCCACAGAGACTAGTAGGATATTCCACAGTGGATGACTCCGTGTTGAAGTACGACGCCCAGCTTTCAGATCCGTGGGGCACAATCACGGCTTCTGCTCCATGGGGACCCCCACAAAATGAATGACAAGTTGATTAAAATTGACACTCAGAATGTAGAAGATGTATATAGATTTTACCTTTTCGGGTTTTTACACTACGCAATAAATGTCTGATTCTTCCTTTTCAGATTTTTAAACAATGTATTTGACTAAAATGAATGTATAGATAAGTGCCTTACTTTTGACTAAAGCGTAATGAAGTATACGTGAAGTAATGTTAAAGCTTGAAGACACTGCAATTTTGCAGATTACGGATTAATTGAATCACCACTGTGAATGTTATACTTTGAACTGTGAATTTCAACTGGACCTTTACAATCCAGATTTTATACCTCAGGTGGATTGCTAATAATCCTAAATGTTAAATGTGTTTTTACTATAATTGTCTTGAAGCAAATCTTTGAGATGCAAGCTATTTTTAAAGTTTGTAATTTGATGATTAAGGAGGACTAAATGATAAATGATAAAAGAGGTTATTTGGAAACATATATTTGACTATTTTCTTCTATATTTTTTGGTATGTTTATTTTTGTGCTATTGATGGACGATTTGTCTAAACACTGAGGACATATTTTGGTATTTCTACACGGTCATATGAAGTTGATATGTGGAGCCATTCCTGAATGTTTAAATAGTCTGAATCCCAGGTTATAATGTGAGTGTCTTGAAATAGTTGATCTCTTAAAATGAGACCAAAAGGGGGATTTGTAGAGTTATATTTGTATTTATTCATGTTAGCAAACTATGGATAAGCTTAAAATGGGAATAATTTGGGTGGAACTGTGAGCTGGATGTGGGGCCTGTTTGACATGTGTTTTTGAGGACAAAGGAAGATGGGGGAAGGTGAGAGCATGTCTTGAGTTGCATTCAATTTAGATCTAGCTACAGTGATTGGGGAAGCCTAAGGTCTAAGGTGTTGGTGATATTTGGGGCTGCCAATCAGTGATGTCCGAATGGGAGGATCTGATAACTCCTCCCATTGTCACAGAGTAGAAACACAAGCGGTGTTCAGCCTCTTTCCTCTGGCTAGCTCACGTGCAGGTAAATTCGGGATCCCAAAGATTAACTGTATTGAATTTGTACTGTATTGATTGTATTGTTTTGTCATATTACCATTAAAGTAGATATTGTTTACTTGGTGGCACTGGATTTCTTCCTGTATTAACCAGCTTGATAGGGACGCGCAGAGATTTGAAAAGCGGACCAGATATCCCTTTTAATCTCTAACAGCCTACATTAAAACAAAATGTGTCCTCTGCATTTAACCCAGCCGCAGTGCAGCGCTCTGGGACCAAATCTGGTTCCAAAATCCGTCTATAACGTTTTACAACCTGAAGATACAAAACACATATTTCTGTTATAACAACAATACTTTTAATAACATAGCCGTAACAATAGGCCTAACAGTGTTACCGATACAGTAAACTTCTTAAATAAATGAAGAATAAATGAACGAACTGAATGCCAATAATTGCCTTAGCCCCAGATGTTCCCACATTGCTCCTATTATTTTCACTATTCGGATAAAATTGAAAAACTAATATAAAAAAACAATTCGGTTGCTTGCTTGCAACGATTTTCCAAGCAAAGTAAGTGCATGTTTTTATCATGTGTAACGTTACTGTTTAAACGGCGGATAAAGCAGCTTCATCATGGCAACTTGACAACAGCTAAGCTAAGCTAGGCTAGTACTTACAGCATCCGGTGACTTTTCAGAGTTGTTGTGCCACCGTGGTAGGCCAGTTTCTTGCATGGATGTATAATAAGTTTAATAATAAGTTTCTTGTAGCATATTTGGCACACTGCCTTCTTCTTACCGTCGTCCAATTTAAAATGGTCCCACACAGCTGAAGTCTTCGGCATTTTGTGTTCAGGTGTGTGAAACGAGTTGAAGCGAGGTGAAGCGTGCCGTGTGCGTTCGTGACTAAGTGAACGCGATGTCAGGAGCACAGGCTGAGATTGTATATATTTCCAAATTTTAACAGTGCAATTCAAAAGTATAAATATAGTATAAGAATATGGCAATTCGCCTTTATTGATAGCATACATTTAGGAGAAAAAAAAAAAAACGAATATCCGAATAATGAAATTGAAACCCGAATAGTTGGCCAACGAACGAATATTCGAATAGTCGAATATTCGGGTACAGCCCTAGTGGATTCCCTGACGTAGACGTCAAGATCACCAGCCAATCAGGATTGGCGTAATGAGATTGATGCTTCTGTTTGCATACGCCTTGAGGCGCATCCCATAGTGAGACATCGAACGGAGTGTTATGAATGAGAACTTCTTTGTATGAGGTATGCTTTAAACCTGTTATCCAAGTGCAGACATGTAGAACAAATGGAAAGAACAAATTCCATTAAGCAATCAATACTGGCAAATTAAATAATACAACTCTCTGACACAACATAAAAATGTGAATCACACCCATATAATATTTGGGATCAAAAGGTTTGAAATGTCTTAATCTTTCTTTTTAAAGCACCAGTATCTTCCTGAGGATTTTTTTTTTGAAAAGCATGAAAATGGTCATGGAAACACGTTTCATACTCGACCAAAACAAAAATAACTTTTCCATTGTGAAGAATGATACAGGTTATTTTGCTGAACACCGGCATGTTTTCATCTGTGCTTGTACAAACAAACAGGCCAAATCGATATTCACAATTACACTATTAATACCAAGCGGCAAACTCTGGGGAACAGCCGGGAAGCCAATACGGAAGTGCCACACACTGCAGTTCATACATGGGCCGCTAGGGACTGGCTGCAGAAAGGAGCAATTTCCATAGACCCCCATGTTAAAATGCCCAACTTTACAGCAGAAAAAAACATGTTTCTACCCATGGATGCAATACATATTATTATCGATATAGTTAGATTACACCTTCATGATTATGAATCTGTAAGTGAATTGTTTTCTAACACGACCCTTTTATTTATATTAGGTCTTAACGTTTTTGCATAAATTAGGGCGTGGTCACGTTGATGGACACGTACATGCCTCACTGTCAGCTAACAGCAACTTGTCCACTCTGCTAGGCTACAACCATAGAG